AAAAAAAAAAAAAAAACCATATTTGCCGCATTTTGCTATGCAGAACTTTACTTTGATACTCCTTAACCGGAAACGTAGTTGCTAGCTCCACTCACTTGATAATGGTTTTAATTTAATTCAAGTTCAAGTAACGTTATCCGTGAGGCAGATTTCTGCCTGTTTACCGACAGCTTGGTGTAATACTAAAGTGTTTAGCGAGATAGGAGCTGTTGGACACTCGTTGTAATGTTTAGGACGAGTTAAAATGTGTCTTTTTAATCGTAGCATTGAATGTCCTCAATAAAAAAGGTGTGTACAAAGTTTCTGATTTGACGTGGATTAGTTTTGTTTCCAGTGGGAGCCCACCGGTCAGTTAGCGTTAGACAGCTAGCGCTAATCCGAAGGGATAACTAACTAGTTTAATCCGAGTTTGATAATCCTTTCACATTTCTACAGTTGAACAGAGGAGGGGGAGGAGTATCCTCCTCCAATGTCCGTCCTCATACAAACTTCAAGGTTCCGCTCAACAAGTAACCGAAACTCACAGGTTCGGTTACTTGGACATTTATAAGACCGCATTGAAACTTGACGCAAAATCACTTTAACTGCGCCCGAAGGAATGCGGACTAAACTTGGAAGTCGTCAAACGGAAACGTGACCTGGTGAAACGGAAAAAAAGGGGGGTAACGTTATCGGTGCCAGCGGAGCACCGCTCCTCGGGGCACGAGACATTTGCGCTCAAGGAAAGGAAGCGACACGATGGCACTCCGCGGACGAAAGAGTCGACCCAAGTTACTTTTTGTCGTCGTCGGTGTCACTTTGGTGGGGTACCTGGTCTTTTTCAGACACAACTCGGGGGAAGTGAGCGAGACGAATCGGCGAGAGGTCCCCGGAGAGCGAGAGGTGGGAGACGAAGAGCTGAAGAAACCCGTCTACGAGAGGCCCCCCCCGGATCTAAATGCCCTGGGTGAAGGGGGGAGAGCCGTCAAACTCAATCTGAACGGAGAGGAGAAAAGAAAAGAGGAGGAGAGCATCAAGAAACACCAGATCAACACTTATGTCAGTGATAAATTGTCGTTGCACCGTAAACTGCCAGAGAGATGGAACCCACTGTAAGTAGTTGAGAGCTGTCAATCATTATACAAAATAAACACTATTAACACACTGTGTTTAGAGGAAGTTATACACTCTGAATCATAAATTCCCTAACTCCTAAAGGTCTTCAATGAGTATTTTCTGCTGCTTGCCTTATCTGAATGTGAAGGCAACTTCTTTGGTCATCAGTATTTACTTTGGCAACCAAGCTTAAGCTCCGTCTTAACCGAGTCACCCAATTTCACCTTCCTCCCTTCCTCAGTCTGCCCACTAACATGTACATTCTCCTGACATTGCAGGTGCAGAGATGTGAAGTATGACTACCGGTCCCTGCCCACGACCTCCGTGGTCATCGCCTTCTACAACGAGGCCTGGTCCACCCTGCTGAGGACGGTGCACAGCGTGCTGGAGACGTCGCCCGACATCCTGCTGAAAGAGGTGGTGCTGGTGGACGACTACAGCGACAGAGGTACGAGCACAGACTGATGGAGGGAGGCTGAGGCAGGCAGGCAGGCAGGCAGACAGACTGACGGACAGGCAGAGGGGGCAGCCGGGGTTGGCTGATTGACAGTCAGAAAGGACAGAAAGGTTGTGACAGGTGGTGATGAAGGGGAATTTTATATGCATCCAGGTAGACGAACACAGATATCAATGTCACACGTCTGGGCTTTTTTTTTTTATCTTCCATAAAGATACAAATCCCTGATGTAATAATAATTACTAACAGTGCACATTGTTGCGCGGATGGTAAATTGGAGGACAGTTTCAAGCACGGTGCTTTTTTATCAGACTCAAACTGGAATGAGAAAAAAAACGAAGAAGCAGAGCTTTCTGTGGCTGGATGCAGACGACCTAAAGAGGAATTGTCAAAAGAAAGCAGTGCGTTCTAATTTAGAGTGATTCATTGTTTTGTCTTGTGTACTCAGACTGAACGTAATGAGCTGAGCCACTTAGAGGGAGTGGTTGTAAAATGGCTTGGCTCACGACCTTATAAGGTTTGCCTCTCCCTCTGCCACAATATGGGGAAATAGTTTGAGGACAAAATCAAGATCATACCAAATGTTTTTTGACATTTGAGTCTGACTTTCTCTACAGACGGATGTACTGTGCTCGTGATGTCTAACACATTGGTCGGTAAAGGTTATCCATTTGTCTAGTTATGTGAGAATGAACTTAACAATTACACCTAATAAACATTTTAAAGCTTTCTGGCGAGTCTGTAAAAGTCTATATTTTTTGTTTTACTTTTTGTACTTAATTCCCCGAAGCTCACCTGAAGGAGCCGTTGGAGAAGTACATCTCGGGTTTGAGGAAGGTGCGTCTGATCCGGGCCACCAAGAGGGAGGGGTTGGTGCGGGCGCGGCTGCTCGGGGCGTCTATCACCTCTGGTGACGTGCTGACCTTCCTGGACTGTCACTGCGAGTGTCATGAAGGCTGGTTAGAGCCCCTGCTCCACAGGTTAGAACACCCTCAGCAGGAAAAACTGACTCATTCTTCTTGAGCATTTTGTGCAAAGTGTAACTGGGCTCTCTTTGGAGAAAGGGCAGCACTTAAAGTTGACACGGACGTTTGAGATGAGCAAGAAGCACGGCTTCTCCCCGTCTACAGCTTTTCTCTCAATTTTTTTCTTCTTCTCCAGGATCAAAGAGGAGCCGTCGGCTGTGGTGTGTCCTGTTATTGATGTGATCGACTGGAACACCTTCCAGTATTTAGGGAACTCCGGTGAACCCCAAATCGGGGGGTTCGATTGGCGGTTGGTCTTTACCTGGCACGTCGTCCCAGATTATGAACAGAAACGCCGCCGCTCGCCCATCGATGTCATCAGGTGAACACTTTTTAAGGATCGCTTTACAGAATCGTCTCGAAATCAACACTTGTACCCCTGCTGCCAGCTGGTAGATCACTCGTCTCATATAAAGGAATCGTCATTCATAAGATGCGTGGAGATTGTCGTCTGATGTGTGTTTTTTTTCTCCTCAGGTCTCCCACTATGGCAGGGGGTCTGTTTGCTGTGAGCAAGAACTACTTCCAGTACCTGGGCACATACGACACAGGGATGGAGGTGTGGGGAGGAGAGAACCTGGAATTCTCCTTCAGGGTAAGAGATCATGTGTGTGTGTTACATGTGCATGTGTGAAGACCTAGCTTTATGCAACAATAGGCACGATTCATATACTGTCTCCATGTTGATGTGAAAAAATGCACATTTTAGCACCACAACACCCAGCATTAAAAAGGCATCCAGATGTGGTTTACTGCATCATGTGAGGACTCCTCTTCCTCCGTGAAAAGCATCCTGACAGAATTATAACTTAACAACCAGTGAAAACAGGCCAACAACAACAAGACCACCTTTCTGTTTCCAAGTTCCTCCACAACAAGGCTGCGCTTTGTGTTGAGTGATTGAGTCATGGCGGAGAGGCTAACCAAATCCCCGTGGTGGTGGTGGTGATATCTTTTAGATTTGGCAGTGCGGGGGCAGCCTGGAGGTCCACCCATGCTCCCATGTGGGCCATATATTCCCTAAAAAGGCCCCTTACTCGCGTAGCAAAGCGCTGGCGAACAGCGTGAGAGCCGCTGAGGTCTGGATGGATGAATACAAAGAGGTCTACTACCACCGAAACCCCCTCGCACGACTGGTGAGTCTGCACAGATGGTGTGTGTGCGTGTGTGTGCTAATGCTAACAAATACAACAGTAAGCATGGCAGCATATTAATGTCTGAATGATTTGTTTCCTTTATGGAGTATTGGGGAAGACAGTATTTTTATTTTTTTTACAGCTGCACTCATCACAAAACTGCACAAATGAACACGTCTACACACACATATATACACACACACACACACACACACACTGCACTCCCGCTGTGGTGTAAAAGCTCCCCTGATTAGGTGACACTTGGGATACATGAGCGGCAGACACCCAAGGTGACAGGGGTGCCGGGGCGTTCCGGTGTGTGATTACCACCTTTCCGTGTCGCCCGGTGCCAGCAGGTGTCACCCACCTGCCCTTGACAGGGTGAGAGCATTGCTAACCCATTGGACCCTGCTTTGGTGTGTGTGTGCGTGTGGCAGTGTAGTTAAGAGGAGAAGCTCTCTAAACACCGATCAGGTGGCGCTCATCTCCCTGAGAGGAGGTAGCCTTGCCAACCTGGCAGTGGCTCGGCAGAACCCAATACACCACAGCCTACAAACAAACACTGCTGCTCCCAGTGGGTGCTAACGCGCTCATTCATGCGATGCAATATATTATGTTAAACGAGGTTCTCTAGCATCCGACAGGCTCTTCTCCCTCTCCATCTTCTCTTATATTTGTTGTTTCCAGTAGTTTTATGAATTCCAGACACCCGGGTGCTGATTTTTGTTGAGCCCTTAAAGAAATAATGAATCCCTGTTGTCATTTCTCAAGATATTCTTTGCATATTCCTACGTGATCTCGTGGAGCTAGCAGACGCTACACACACACACCCTTCAGGATCGATGGACTTCCTTTGCTACAGTTTAACTCGGTCAGCAAGATGTCTGTTTGTGTGAATTAGTACTTGAGGACTAAATTGGTTGGTTCCAAGCCCACAATCTAGGCAACTTGAGTCAGTCTCGGCATATATTGATGGCTTATTTTAATATTTCCAGTCAGTCTGGTAGGCGATTACATCGTCACCCCCCCCCCCCGGTATATTGGGGCCGCAGGATGGTGTCACCTGTCAGTCCGTGTGAGTTATGTTTAAACCTCTTGGTTAATAAATAATACTCATGTGTGAAATCTAAATAAACAAGATTCAAAATGCAACAGCGTATCATTTTCAGGGATGACAAAAGAGTGAATCTCTCAGCAAAGTATCTGTTGTTCCCCTACTGCCGTTTTACGCTCGCCTAATTGGCCTCCTGTGTAAATCACATTAGCCTGTAGTTGCTACTTAAGTGTCTTCAGTGTCCCCTTACTAATCCATACACTGGATCATCGGGCTGCCTGACACTCTTACATCGGGCCCGCTCCAGCCCCCCTTTTTGTCGTGTGCTCTGATGGTCCTTACTGGTCCTTCCCATCGCAGTAACGACGTGCTCTCTCTCCTCTGGGAATCTGTCTCTAGAGCTAATTCATTGATGAAGTGGCAATTAAAGCTGCGTTTTGGGCAAACCACCAACATCCATCATCCTGCGGTGCTCCCTCCAGCAGGGAAGGAGGTCTCACCCGCCAACGAGTGGAGACTGTATTCCTCCCTGCGCTGTAAATCACCAGACTCGATCACCGCGGCGCGCGGGTGTAACTATGTAATTCATAAAGGCATTTGCATGAGCACACATTATTTGCATTAACTGACGTGCACACATTTTGCTCCCTATCCTGCTGGCATGGCTGCAGCCGTGACACGACTACCCTGCAGACTGTTGATACATTCTCACGTTGACCATCATAATACTGAAAATACGTCTTTAATTCAAATAGATCTAAATACATTGACATTTAGAGGGACTGAATTCTACTCAGGATGCTGATATCAAAGTAGTATGTTGCATCAATAGTTACTTCCATGTACATAGGAGTGAAACCAAATGTAGAAATGATAGGAAAACATGAACAACATGTGCTGTATGCCTTCATACTTGACATCCATCAAATAAACTGATCTCATTTCGTGTGCGTGTGTTATTCAGATAATGCCCTGCAGAACCACACCCATTCCAGTGAAATACACAGAATACAGGGAGATCCTTGTTTGACCAGGATGAAGGAGTGGGTTTCTGTTTGTTATCAGTGATGCAATTGTGTCGAGTTAAGGAACAACCATAGATGGTGCTGTTGTATACCAGTTCAGCACAGAACCTCTGACACTGACTGCATCAAGAGCGTTCACTCTTAATGTCTGTATGTGAATGTAAGGTGCCACTGGTTGATACTTGTCGTCATGTTATATCCACGTTACAGCAATTCTGTTTTCATCTACTACAGTGAAGGATCTCAGGTGATCATAGAGCTGATATAATACGGTGGAACTGTCCTTTTGTGGTCTTTGTTTCCAGGAGGCCTTCGGGGATGTGACGGAGCGGAAGAAGCTGAGAGAGAAGCTGGGCTGTAAGAGCTTCAGGTGGTATCTGGATAATGTTTACCCCGACATTCACCTCCCAGAGGATCGGCCCGGCATGTTTGGAATGGTGAGAACACACCCGAGTCACCGGTCGTCAGGTGTTAATTAAGGAGTACGATTTTAACCATTCTCACCAGTTTGATTGAATTCAATCAAGCTGAGCAAGTGCAGTTGAGAGGCAAATGATAGACGTGATATATTTACAATAAGATTAACCTCGGCGGGGCTTTCCTCACCCATATGTGAGCTTCTGTAATCTATATTTTATCAGCATCTGAAATGATTGATTGACGTGACTGTCTGACCTTCTTTTCGCTTGTTATAGCTGAAGAACCGGGGCAAGAACAACTACTGCTTCGACTACAACCCTACAGATGAAAACACAGTGGTGGGCCAACGGGTCATCATGTACTCGTGCCACGGCATGGGTCAGAACCAGGTAATGGACTTCAGTCTTTCAGGCCAGTAGCCCTTATTTCACAGTAGACCACAAAGTGTTTGTAGATGTGATTGTAGAACATTCTGGGAATGGTGGACTAGTTCTCCTATTCCAGGCTGAGCAATGATATGTTGGCCTTGTTGAGACGAAGGAGAGTGCTTTTCCCAACACCCTTTCCCTCTGTGGCCGACGGTAGTCCAGGAAGCACTCTGAAATACAGCTTTGTTTTTGCAGCAGCCCTCTGTGGACTCACACACTGATGTCTTCTCTGTAGCAAGTGGGCTCAGCGGTACTCGTGCCGTCTGTCTTATTGGACAGTTGTGTTTCCATCCGTTGATTTGAAGTGAAAAATTGACACTTGAGTCACATGTTTACATCATGAGGTTTCCTTTATAAATAAAGCATAAAAACATTTATATTTTTTAAGTGAGATTTAAAGCTTTCATTGAAAAAAAAAAAAAAAAAAGGGAATGCAATGTTTGTTTGACATTACGCAATTTGCGTGAAGAGATTTCGAGCTCATTCGTCCTCCCGCAGTTCTTTGAATACTCCCCGGACGGTGAGATCCGCTACAACGCAAGGGTGCCTGCTGGATGCGTTGTGGGTGACAACATCAGCACCTACCTGACTTTGCAGCTGTGCAGAAAACGAGGACAACCTCTACCTGCAGACCAGAAGTTTGTCCTCAAAGAGGTAAGGCGGTCCATCCAGATTTAACCAAAGAGGCAGATGTGTCTGTTCTCTTTCTTTCCCCTCATACAGAGTGAAAAGTACCAATATGTGAGGATTTAACTTTCTAAATCAGTTCTAAGAATCTTCTGGTTAAGTAGGCTTTTGGCAACATACATGTAATTGCCTTATCAATTAGAAAGCCCTGTACAATCTGCAGAATTATTTCCTTTCCAATTCATACTGTAATAATGTAAATCTTTTAAGTGTCATAAGTGGATTGAAGCTGAGAGAATTGAATCACTGCGTCCCCTCCAGGGCCAAAAAATCGAATTCATGCTGCGGTCAAAGTCATGTCAATTACACAGCCGAGCTACCCCACAGTTGATGAGCAACAGTACGGCCGATACTATAACTACAAACTGTAAATGACGGAGCGCTGGCAAGCTGGCTGAGTTAATTAACACAATCTAGTCCCACCGCACTGATGTCGGTAGCTAAACCACACTATGGGCAGAACATCTGCATCCCAATAGTAAGCTTTGGTGTTCTTGAAAGATAATACTCAGCTGTTCTGTTACTCTAGACATGTATTCATAGCTCTAATCGCTTTTTTTAACTAACCCCAACCCTCTCTTAGTATTATATCACCAATATTTCTTCATAATGCACGTTGTGCTCCTGGCTGTTTTCCAGGATGGGAGCCTGTACCACCCGGTGAGCCAGAAGTGTGTTCAGGCGGTGGACAAGACAGACAACGGGACACCAGCCCCCTCACTCCAACCCTGCTCCGACAGCCTCCACCAGAAGTGGTTCTTTCAGGAGAGAATGTAATGGTATCAAAGTAGAATATATTTTTCATTAATGGCGGGTATCCTGAGGAGGGATATGGGTGGATTGTGATATGTTTGCTTCGCCCCGAAAGAAATCCAAAGGGGGGGGAAAGCTTCCACGCTCTCTTCCAAAATTCAACATTTGCACATTTACGTGCCAGCTGGATATAATGGACCGATAGGAAATTATACTCGAATGTACTTTCTGAAGAACTTTGAGAATATATATGTATGGGAATCATTTTTCTTGGATGCTGTTGCTGGGAGACAGGAGTCTACTGGATTATATATTGTTTTTATAATCAAGGGGGATGAGGGAGAACCTGCACAATTGTACATGCTGATATTTTTTTTTTCCTTGTTTTACATTCACCCTCTCCGGTACTGGTGCAATCTTTGAGATCAGTTTAGCTCACTTGCTTTATGCAAGCACTGAAACACGTGTGTGCGTCCATCTGAATGCGTTGGAGCGCAGGGATTTTTAGAGCCACATTTTGAAACGTTTGCGTTGGTCTCCTGCAGAGGGGGCCAACGCTCCTCTCTGCAAGTTCCTGTCGTTCACTGGGTTCTCTACTCGTTGAGAGAAAGTGGGACAAATCTTCAGGTATTTTGTTCAAAAACCTTTTCAGGACATTTTGATTGCTTTGTACTCTCGCTTACCGGTGGCTTAGAAGAAGCCTTTAGATCACAGGCATTATGCAAGTAGCTAGGACCTCTTCAGCTTAATCACCTGACTACTGAGAACAGGAGGAACTCCAGTCTTCTTATTCCGTCCTGCTTTTGTCCTTTTGCAATGCAAATTTAACTTTAAAGTAAAATGACATGACGTGGGTCATTTAGCTAGTTGTTGTGTGCTCTTTAAACACATCTTCAACAGACTTAATCATATCATATCTTCTAGGTTTACTTTGTGTGTCATCAACTATGTTTATTTAAAATGATGTATTTAGATAAGACTAAATGACTGTGTTATTTCAAAGCTTTTATATTTTAAATGAAGTCATAAATAAGAGGGAATGTATTCACTTAATGTTGGTAAGTGCAAATTGTAAGAATAAGATCCTCTGTCCCATCTTTCTTGTACACTTGAAGCCAATAGAAAGTGCCTAAATGTAAGAGCCTTATAGTTCTATTTTAAGATTTCCCTTCAGGAAGATGTTTTTGTACTGAATGTATATTTTATCACACAATGAGACGGAAAGCGAACTGTAGTTAGAGTTGTGACAAAGCGTCTGCACATTTACAATATGTATGCTCTCCTGCTGACAATACAGCACGCACAGGCGGGACGGCATCCCCGCGAGTGCACACGCATCACTCTTGCGGGTTGTACTGATTCGTGCACACCGCCTCTTTTTTCCATTATTCAGAATCGGAACTATAGATCCCTCTGTTGTTGCGGCCACTTGTGTGGCTGTGCCTTTAGGCTATATGCAGGGGGACCGAGGGAAACGCCAGCGGAGGAGCGGACAGTTGTTGGGGGTCACCGGAGTGCCGGGGATGCCAGATGGCGTCCTGATTGATTTTTCCGGTCCTCTCCCAATTCTTTATCGCCACCTTTATCTCCCTCTCGGTGTCAGAGGTGTGCGGCCGAGGACTTATCTTTTGGACTTCCGCGTCCTCCTCAGATGAGCGTTTGTTACTTGTGTGCTTCAGGTTTGATTTATGATTGGAAGTCATCAGGAGTACCGTTTTTGGCAGCAGGGGCAGATAATGGAGGCGAGTCAATGAAGCGATTTGTGACCCTCTTCTTAACCACCGACCTTAACAGGCTGTTGGCCCATTGTTCTCAAAGGAGCTTTGCTAGGGCACGATCGTATACCGAAATAGATTTTTGCTATTGATCCAGAATGTAGACTCACAATAAGATAAATGGGAGCGTAAAAAGACTTCAGTAGAATAAGAATCCCTTCATCTGCCAAATATAATGAATGTACAGCTATGAATGTACGGTAATGTGCATGAACATGGTAACATCTCTCCACATATGAGCTCGCATAGTGTAAGCCTTGAGGGACAGCGCAAGATGGGCTTTACTTGGCGCTCCGAAGATATATTTATAATTGCACTGTGTAGGATGAAGGCACCAAAGAAGTTCCAAGCGCATTGGATCCTGGACATCATTTGTGGGGTTAAAGTTCTCAGTAATCCATAAAGGTTTTTTGCTGGCACTATGAGTGGTACATAATTGTGCAGACGGAGCTTGTTGAAGTGGAATGGACCAAATTACCAGAGGGAAGATTATTGTGTGCTACGTAGAGGGGAGGGGAGGGGAGGGGAGGGGCCGCTGTCTCGGGATTGTATGGATGTTTTGGGGGGCGATGAAGCTTGATCTTGGTCACCACATGCCCCCCCCCAACAAATTGGGGAACAGTTCTTTAGGTGTTCATGGAGTTTCCCTGCTATGATTTCAGACTTAGAAAAGCTGCTTCAATGAGAGATGAGATTCTATAGGAACGGGAGAAATTGCCCTTTTTAATACGGTGTTCATGCTTTTTGTAACACTTAGAGATGGAGAAGCTGTCACTTCCGATCAGTCTTCAACTGGGACTGAAGTATATAATATCCTGTTATTAAAAGAGTTATTTATTGTCCCAGTGGCCATCTGTTATGCAGACACGTCCTACATAGTAAAACATGTTTTATGCTGCCGTTATATTGTATGCTAATTTGATAAGGTGCATGCAGTGGCAATGAAAAGTCGAGGATCATATCTCTCTGGCAGGTCTTCAGAGCTATTTTATCAACCAAAGCCGTGTTGTAAACAGTTGTGAAATTCCAGCGATCTGTTTGAGCCCTTGAACCTGTAAAGTGGCCGATAGTCACTCAGCCCTAATGGACCGTACGGCTGTTTTACAATAGCATGGACATGTCTTCTGTTTGTAATGGCAAACAATTCACAATGGAGACATTTCAGTTATTTAAATGGTGAACATGCACAGATCCCAATGCTGGAATTTAACACCCTGTCTGGTGTATTAATGCTGTAAGTAACTCCAGTGGCCTTGTATTGTTATTGAGAAAGTGAAGGATGTGATTAATAATGTATTTTGTATTTGGTGGACCCACTCAATGATCTATCAATGTACCCGTTTAACTGTTGTCAACTGTAAACACAAATGCAATGTTGGATTGGTGTTTTTGCCTGTTCTTGCTCATTATGTCTCTTGATTTTAATATTGAGTTGTGTGTCTCTAAAATGTGTAACTTCATTGGCAGGCTTTACGTATGAAAAACAATCCCGAAAATACTTTTGCTGTCACTGTACTCCATTGCGTATCCATTAAAGGGTGACTCATCAGCATCCCCCCCCCCCCCGATGAGGAAAAACAGGCTATCATCCACATTTAACTGTGATGGAGACCTGAATCAAGATGCTCGGAGGGTAATGAGAGAAGAAATAGAAAGGGAGAGGGGTGGGGGCTGAGTTCTCCAACCATATCTGATTGGTTTGATCACCAGCTGCTGAGTGAGATGGTGAAATGTCGTGCCCGCGCCAAGTCGCTCTGTTCCCCCTGGTGTTGACGCTCTGGCCTGCAGTCGCTCTCAATTACTCATCGATGATGCTCTGCTGTTTGTCTCATACAATCACGAGTGTGTGTGTGTGTGTGTGTGTGGGCCACGTCTTTGTGACAACGGCATGGTGAACGGTTTATTGAAGGTAAAATCATACAAGCTTTTTTTAGGATGGTAAAAATACCAAAGAAATAGTTTTTTATCATATCGGGAGAGGTAAAGGTGAGTCATTCGATGTCGGCTGTTAAAGCGTACAACACTGCTGTAAAAAAAATAATAGCATGAAACATTTGCGTGAGACGAGCTGTTTTTCTCCCCCTCGCACAAGATGACATGCTCTGATGGAAAACTTGCCAGAAATCTTCACATTCTGACAAATGCTGCCGAGACACCACTCGGCTGCTTCCCAGGACAATGAGAAGCGTTGCAGAGGGCTGCGACGCTGCCGTCTCCGAGAAGCGTCTCATCCTAATCTTCTGGGTGCTTCCCTGTGAGATGCACGGTGCTGAATAGCGCTGTAAAATATCCTGGAATTCAGCAAACGCGCCCACGGAAACGCCGCATGTTGCTGCAATCTCGGGCACACAGCGTCGGCCTCGTGTTTGATCCTGTGTGGCATACATGCAGCACTACAGTCCCCCAACACCCCCATATGTGTCTTTAATGATAATGCAAAATAAGGCTCCCCGTGGTGCAAGTCTTTGGAGATGCTCAGGCTTCAGTTGTCAGGGAGCGACAGGAAGACGCCACACACACACACACTCACAGACAGGAGGTACATGTCTGTTTAGTTTATGTAATCCCCAATACTCAGAAGAGCTCAGGAGCAGTGGCTGTTGGCTGCATACATTAGATGACACACTTTCACTTTCAGGAGGGACTCCAGACGGAGCAGTAAACATGCGAGGCCTAGATACAGAGATGGCGTTGCATTTCTCGTGCACCGCGGCCGCCTGGCATCTGATTAGGTGGATCATGTAGTGAATAAAGCAGCGAGGCTTCCATGTAGTCACTCAGTTGCTAAATTATTTTAAATAACCATAACTATTCTGCATCATGTCATTTCCATTCTGGCATTTTTCGTTTTTCCAGGAAGCGATGGAGAAACGGCAACTAACTCTGCCAGCTTTTTAACACTGCAGGCGGTTCAGAATTCAGAGTGCAACTGTAAAACAACATGACATGGATTTTGTTGTGAAGAAAACCAAGAGAGACCATCTGATAAGGTTGGACATTAATTTCAGGCTATTATGGTGCCACGAAAACATGCGACTGTAGAGCAGTGATGTGAAACACACAAGTAAGAATAACACTCGAGCACAGTAAGCATGGAAAGAATAATCTTATGCAAATGACGCACTCAGCTGGTTTCATAGACATTCCTTGACTTGAAGCCTTTTTACAGTTGAAAGCCGCCTTCAGTGTAGGATCGGGCTGATCCACGTCAGGGAAACAGCCGATACAGCATCAAAGGCAGCCTTCTTGTTGCTTATTTGGCTCGAGTATACCACTGCTGTTTTTTTTTTTTTTTTTTCAGTGGAGTTGGACCTCACCAGAAACTGTCAAGGAACAATCGTCTTGGCTTTCCAGCGTATGATTCAGCTGAGAACATCACAGATCACGTGGGAAATTAGATTTTTCACCTTCTGCAGTGCAGTGGTTTGATTTCAAACTACACGCGATGTTTGGTTTGTTGGTCAGTTCATCTCTTTGGTCGAGACTGAGATATTTCAGCAACTTTTTTGGTGGATTGCCATGAAATTCAGTACAGATACCCACGATGCCCAGAGAATAAATCCTGATGACTTTGGTGACCTCCTAACTTTCCCTGTAGTGCCACTGGCAGGAGAAACTGTCACTCACCCCGAGTGTTATCTTAACATCTAATACTTGCATTGTGGGAGCAAAAATGGTGCCATAACTTTTCTCTCCTGCACCATCGTCAGGCCAACATTTTATTTTGTCTAATTCGGGTTTGATACTGATTTATGACTAAATACCTGCAAAGCTAGACATATCAGCCTCAGCTGTACTTTGTGTTTAACAGTAATTAGCAAATGTTAGCATGCTGCCAACACCCCAAAATAAGATGGTGAACGTGGTAAACATCTGTATGTTTGCATTGTTGTTTGCAAACATGTCACCAGCAGCATCGCTGTGCCTCAGTACAGCATCTCAGAGACGCTTTTGGTGTTGTTACCCTCTATGTTCAGATTACAGCATATTGTTTGACAGTTACTCAACAAATCTATTTTTAAACGTGGATAAATAAATAGAGGAAAATTAGTTCAGGCGCATCAGAAATGTGTTTGAGATGTAACTTGCTCTTTTATACAGCGAAAAATTGTTTAAATGTTCTTGAGGTCGCAGGGAAAGTTAGACAATAGATTATAAAATGGCGCCACTGGTCTTTTAGCACAACATTTTGGTCTTGGTGTAGATCAACCTACTGTTCTTTTTAAAATTCAGCTTAGTTTAGAAGGTTGCTCATAATCAGTGGCCACTTTTTCTTCCTATGTGTTGGAGGTGTTCGTAATCAAGGCTGATCATTATTTACAAGCAAGCAGTTTCTGTTGTGATTTTCAACCACTTGATCAACTGACAGGCACTGTTGAA